CCCCCCCCCTTAGCTCCCCGGGAATAAGCGTATTTACCCCATGCATTATGCATATACAAAAGCGCGTAAAGCTCGGATCGATATCCTGACGTAATTAAAGGACTAAATTTAAAGACGATAACGTAAGCACCGTCGCGAAATATTTACGTTCCTTGATTGAACACGTACGACGCCATATGTAATTTTCTTGAAAAAGAGACATACACAGCAAAGCACAAAGTACAAAGGACAAATACACTGCGCTCCATGTTTCTTATTAAAATTCATAAAAGCGTCAGAGAGCCACGAGCAGAGTGCAGCTTTTGATAAAATTAGGCCCAATTGCTGAAACCGATTACAAATTTAAATTGACAGTACTGACAGGTACTGGACGTACGGAAGAACATTGATCAACGATATTTTATATGAAATTGATATAAATTTCAAATTTAATATTCCCATAAAAATGTTGGATCGGTCATCCCTATTTTATACCAACGAACAGTTATGGCCTTACTAGGTATCATTTTTATCGCATCAATCAATCGCATGATATATGGCAGCTTATCATAGAGACACGTTGCCAAGAGTAAAAGCCACCCCGAGAAGATCCCTCGATAACATTCATTCCTGTCAATTCCTTTGATTGAATCGATTGTCAGATCTTTGAAAATTTTCTCAAAATACACTACCCAAAGTTATTCGCCCACTTTTATTTTCCAGCATCCCTCCCCCCTCGACCAATCGTCGTCCGCTCCTTCGCTCTTAACTAACCCTGCGCAACATTTCACCCACGCAAGACGATACCATTCATGCGTATAAAAGTCTCATGAAAGAAAATAGCTCACTTTCCCCAAAAAAAATATACCAATTCAATCCATTATCGAATACACTGATTCAATTCGTTCAATCAGTACTGTACAGCACAGTGGTAGTGATAAAGAATCCCCTTCAGAAAAAAAAAAGATATCCATCCTTCTCCCAATACAAGATGAGCTACCCCAACGAGAGAGAACGAGAGTTGTTTAACTCAAGTGATAAATTTCTGTGGCAGCAAATAAATTTAATCCTCGATTCATTGGATACAATTGAGAATAGGCCATTACGTCAAACGAAGAGCTCTACTTCCTTATCGTTATCAAGTATAACGTAGTCTCAGCCATAAGGGTTTATATGTATTTTCATGTAACTCGTGTCTCTCCCTCTCGTTCTCTAAAACCCTGTCGACGCCATCTTGGTATTACCATCAGCGACAAATGATAATACCATTAGTAAATACTCGTCGCAATGAAAGTAAAATGACAAATAGACGCGATGCCCGCTGATGTTCTCGGACTGATCACACGATAGGGGATGATTGGCGCCCTTGGTTATCACTCTCCGCCCATCAATCATCGTACGTCCAGCATCAGCAGCCTAGCGTCATGACCCTCTGGAACCCACGATACATTCCCGCTGTGTTCGACATCGATCCACTGGAGTTATATGGGTTTCTATTGGAAATTATGTAACGCCGCGTGACTAGAATTTTCTTGAAAAGGACCTCGGTGCTCCTAATGACGATCAAACCCCTTAAAAACAACCTAAAAGAAGAAACATAAGTACGTCAATTGATCTCAAGGATAACTGTCTGCGAACTTTAATAAAACTACCTCTTTTCCAGCTCGGCCGTATATCAAAGTTTTACGTTTGTTGCGTCAGCTCGTGATTACACGTTTAGTAGGGAACCCACGACCAAGTGTCAAAATTAAGATAATCCAAGATTTAATTAACTCGAGGCAGACGACAATGTTATGTAGGCGCTGTAACTTATTCAAAAATTAAGGGTGAACATTGACCACAGTTCAAGACACGTATGAGACTACCTAACCTAAATTACTCAACACTGTTGACTTGGTCAACCAGAAGCTTGAAGCTCTGTAAAAAATTATACGCACCTCTTAATCTGAAAATTCAGGATTTTCGTCACATCGCTGTGAGTCGGAGCGAGACGCTCTTGTAGGCAGGGCGCGAGAGCGTGAGCGAGACACCCTGCGCTAACTTTCTGCGAAAGAGTTTTCCAAGACGTGCCCGAAAGTCAGGTTAAGTCGACTTCCCATTACAGATCCATATTTATGTATGACTGGCTCAAAGTTAATAGGGTTTCCCGTCTATAAGACTTTACCGACGATGAATTCGCCGCGTTATTTATCCATGGATAATCTGCCTGTGAAATAAGAAATTATATATATTCCAATGAGAATTTTACATGTGCCAATAGGTATATTATCCACCATGTTTGATTGGTTCCTCTCGCGCACCTCGTCCTCCATCTCAATCAAGCTTTCAATAATGTAAATTAAAATCGCTTCAATATTTTTTTTCACGTATTGCCTTTTTTCCCCCAAAAAAATAATAGACCCAATACATATAGGTTACTCCGTAAAAATGTAAGAGTGGAATAGGATAATAAGTATTCACCAAATGAAAAATTTCTAATGCAAAGCAACCTAAAACACTGCCCAGTCAAGTCATAATAAACGAAATAGGAGAAGAAAATTATTCGGCAAAATTAATCAAAATCGGGAATTCCCAGTAACGACGGCAGCGTGGAAGGGCAAAGTAGCTTGGCAATTTTGCAAATGCCTGCGGCATATTTCGCAGCACGACTAGACCTCTTGTGGAGCTTCGCTAAGAGGCGATTTCTCGCGAAAAACAATTTTTTCACTTCGTCAACCCTTCTGGCACAATTCGACTAGTTAACTTTTCTTTTTTCTCGCCCCCAACTGCACCCACTGTTTCCAACCAAACAATCAGATACAAATCAAGAGCAATCTCGAGACAGGATTAAAAAACGTCATCGGTCCAAGTTCTTCGGTAGATTAGATGGACAAATTATTATATGATTTACTTGGAAAATTACACTATATATATACAGGGTTATTCACTAGAAAAGCACTGGCTGAAGTTATACGCAACTGAACGATACCGTTAGTCGAGGCAGTGCAAGCTTGTTGAACACATGAAAGATTCTGATGTTGATAATATTATGACGTTAACTTTCATTTCCTTTAATAATATCGGACTCTTCTGATTGATGAAATCACCCATTTGTGGTCAACTTCAGGTGGAGCGATTGCTGTGAATATATACAGGGTTATTCACAAGAAAAGCACTGGCTGAAGTTATACGCAATTGAACCGTTAGTTATACGCGTTATACGCGTTGATACCGTTAGTCGAGGCAGTGCAAGCTTGTTGAACACATGAAAGATTCTGATGTTGATAATATTATGACGTTAACTTTCATTTCCTTTAATAATATCGGACTCTTCTGATTGATGAAATCACCCATTTGTGGTCAACTTCAGGTGGAGCGTTTGCTGTGAATAACCCTATACATCCCCTATCCTATCATCAACTTGTCCACATAACAATTGGGTTACATGGAAATACAGGAATTCGTGGCAATGTACAACTTTCAAGTAACTTGGAGAAAAAAAAAACCCTGAACGAATACAGTATTAGACATAGCAGAAAGAGTTGATTCCTGAAACCAGTAATCCTAAAATATTCTTTGAGTTTCAATTAATTATTTTTTTTTTGCATCTCCTAGCAAATCGATTGCGTTACGCTAGACTGCTTTTTGCGATTAATTGAATAAAACCACGCACACTTTTTTTTTAGAAAGAGATTTTAATACTGGACTGGTTCGCTTTAAAGGCCTCTCCGTTAAAGTAAGTGAGGAGCCTTGCAGGGTGAATTAATTACCGGACGAAGAACCCTTAATAAATTAGACAAGGTATTTAACAGCGACAAGTCTAGTAGAGCTTAAGCCCACGTGGATTAAAGTACTTTGGCATTGCTACCTACACAGTACAGAAGCAGCTCTGGACTTGGGATCCACATATGCGTACTACAGTGACTGTAAAAAGAGAAAAATAAGGGAGCCATCAATAAGTTAACTAATTGTTCGAAATAGTAAACTTCTGTGAGCCTAAAGCCGAATTTAATCGTCCAAAGAGAAGGATTGATGATATTAAAATCACGCGAGCGATGGAATTTCATTTAGACTTCACTTTTACAAAAACTCGTTCAATTTAGGTAAACGTTCAAACAAATTTCCATTAGTTAAAAAAAAATAATAATAATAATCAGAGACTTCAATGAAATTTTTTTTCACCAATCTGCTAATACATACACCAGATACTGTTCAAATTTTTCATTCAGTAAGTTAAAAATATATATATAATATACAAAATTCCTAGTCAAGTTTTTCTGCATACAATTTGAATAACAAGATTCCCACTACACCTTTTAATCAAGTTTTATCCAAGTCGCAAGTTGCCTTTGACATCCATACTGGTTTTATAAAGCAAATCCAAAAAAATAGTCATGTCAACTTCACGTGAGAATATTAAAAATTGGTATAGCGTCGAAACAGCGATTTTACCTCAGTCAACGAGCCAATAAAGACCCCCTTGCGATTCAATTTCATAGCATTTCAATATTATACTCGAGTTAACGCTCAAAGAAAATAATCCCATAAAACACGTTGTTACGTAATAAAGGTAAATATTTTTTAATGAGAAACTAAGGAGATAATGAAATTACATTTATAAAGGATATCAAAAAAAAAGAACCGACCCCTAGCTACCTAGCTAGCCGTGGCGTACCCTGAAAGGACTTAGGACCCACAAAGAAGATCTGCGTCGGTCATCATCAAGCTGTTTAAGCGGATACTGATTTAATGTAAATTATAAAAAAATATGTACAATACTGTTCAATTGAATTTACGTCTTAACTGTTTTCTACACTCTCGTTGAACTTGACTAATTGGAATTCAATTGAAGTCGAGGACCAGCGAGGTTTGTTGATTCAAGATAATTTAATTCCAACACACAAACCCATTGAGAACGTCGAATGTAGCATTTCCACGAAATATCGTCATTAGTAGTCAGTCCAACGGGTTACGTGAGATTGGAGGAAAGCTCTATTCGTTATCGTTAGTGTTGGCAATGAGGGTATCCAAATTTCGTTACCTTCGCCGGTCCTGTATTCACGAGCTAAATCGACAGGGTGGAAGGAGCCCTTTACGTAACAAGAAATAGTTAAATATGAATTAATCAGACGTCAAGCTTAGTAGCGTAAATTATTCTGAAAACGGATAAATTCAGAAATTCCAAAAATATTCGGAAAAAAAAGACAGCCATTATGATTCTCAATGCTGCACAGCAGAAAATTCAAATGAATGAAATCACAGATGAAGGTCAATTAATTTAGATAAACCACGATCCCGTGGGTACTCACCGATCCGATGATCCTGGTCCACGAATATTCAGCTGTCAATCAAGTGGTCCATTCATCGATCCAAAATCAAATTCCCATTTAAAATGGTCGATTCAGCAATATTCCAGAATCCAGTTTACAGAAAAGCGATGAAATCCGTAATTGAAGTAAGCACTTCAAAACAGCTCTACCATTATAATCAACTGACCCGCGCACTCGAGATCCAAATAACGACTGACAGGTATAAATTCAAAAAGGTAATAAATGAAAAAAATCTGCCTGTTTACCGAAACTTCCCGAGGCGAAACCGAGTAACCACGATTCTCTATCCGGTTTTTCTTAGGTGTTATTTATCGTATAAACTTTTATGGGAAAGTAGTCGAATTTTTTAAAAGTTTTTTTTTTCCAATTAAAAGCAACAAATAATGGTCAATAATAAAAGAGGGTAAATCAAATTTTATCATCATAATTCTAATGTTATACCAAGTGCAAAGGGTGCAAAGCAAGATTAGGGTGTGTACTGTATTATTATGGTAGAACTTTTTGTACAGTGTGTGCCATTGTCGTCTTGAATAAATCTACAATTATGACATATTAGTTTATTCAGAAAATAAAATATTTCAGGAATGTTACCACAGGGTGGGAGATATTACAATGGAATAATAATTACCTGAGCAAGATCGACGTGAATAATACGGTTAACGAATGATAGATTGAACTAATATTTACTATATGAGCCGATGTAATCGTAGTTAATTAAAATGTTCTTGCGCGAGCCTTGAAAACTGAATATTTCGTGATGTTACAGGCTCAAATAAATTACGTGGGAAATGCAATTTTCTCTTCCGTTCTTCGTTGACTCTCTTGGAAATTAATTGGATTTTCTGTGATATTTAATAATATGCATTACTGTGAATATTTACTTAGGCCACATGGTCACGTGTACTTTGAAAAATAATGATTGTTTAGGATTTAAGTAAATATTATAAAATATGTAAGAAAATTCTAATGAATTCTACTCCCTCCCCCACCATGTAACATAAATAAGTAATGGCAAACGCGCGGCAACGATCTACATTTAAAAAAAAAACTAAAATTTTTTTAAAAATCACGTATTCTCAAGACACAGGATTCAGTAATCACCTTAATCAATATGAAAATGAGAAATATCTGTTTGCCAAGACACGTACACCCGAGTCTGCAAACTTTTTTTTACACTCTTCAAGAAAAGATTACCATGCTTCTTTGACAACTGAGAGATCTGTTCATAAATACAAGATCTATCTGAACCTTAATAATGTGTCCCCTCAAATAATAGTGATCTGTAAAATAGTAAATCCTATTAAAATGCATAAATTTTCACTAAAAATATAATTCAAGTCTTAAGCGCACCTTTGAAATGATACCTATATCGATTTCTGCACAGAGTGCCAGTAGCAGTAATAATGGACCAGCAGGACTGACACTGGATCCTGGTGTTGGCGGTCGACGGCAGCCATCCCAACAATCATTCCACTCATCAAAGAGTAATCATTCCCATCATTCACGTCACCAGCCGCCGCCTACGACGGCAGCGACGTCGACGCCGCGAACAACCTATCAAATCCCGGAGGTGGCGGCCCGATGTATACGTAAGCTATAAATTAAATATACATGGTTAGGAGCTGACACTGAGTCGAGAATAAAAATATGAAAATTAAAATTAAACCTCAACGAGCGCGCCCTGACTCTATTTTCCAGACGTGAGATCCTCCTCCAGGAACCTGGTCTCTACTAGGAATCAACAAAGCATCACTAAAATGCTCCTATTAATCAGCACGGTATTCATATTACTGAATTTACCCAGGTAAGGAAATACAAATTAGCCTTTGGCTGTTATTTCATTAAAATCTCTATTCATAATACTTCAACGACGAGAACGAAGCTCTTCGGACCTATGCTCAAGTTTTAAATTATCTACCGTATATGCTATAGGGAGAGATAGGGATAAACAAGAATTTCATCAGGAATATATATCGTTGAATCCATTGACGTAGAAATTCATTATAGCCACATGAGCTGATCAAACACTTTTACAAAATTTTGAAAATTTCATTATATATTTAAAAGGGACGTGAGTTGATCATCGACGAAGCAAAATTTTATGGTTCGATCGAGCCATAAAATTTCATTCGTTTCTCGGCGAAAGAGAGGGGTGTGATTTAAGGATTAGAAGCTAACGTGGAGTTACAGCGTAGAAAGAAAAAAAATATAAGTATAGAGACGAAGAGCCACGCAACCGTAAATTCAAGGGAGCCTTTATGTCTCTTCGAAGTACATGAAGTTATAAGGCCGAAATATTTTTATCGAATGATTCTCGATAACAAAGCTCTTCCCAAGCTCAGCATTTTTTATATTAGGCTGTTGCCTTAATATATACTCTTAAATCTAATATTCTAAGCACAGTACGTAGCACAGGATCGAATCTATTTTGTCACAATCTAACGTTATTCAAATAACATGCCTAACCATATGTCAGTGAGGTTAGATTACATTTACGAGTAACGGTCCGCCCTAACTTACAAGAAATTATCAAGATTTTTCAAACAAATTATTTGATCTTTAATATTTACGCACCTAGGCTGGCCTGCTGGTGTGGATGATTCTCTTGTTCTTGTTTTCAGCTATGTCATTCGACTCTGCGTATTCTTCTTTACTCTTGCGAAGAAGGACACACCTGCTCTGCTGTGGTGTCTACAACAATTCTTCATGCTTCTTTACTACACCAATTTCAGCATCAATTTCCTGCTTTACGCAATGTGCGGCATCACTTTTCGACGCTGTCTCGAGCAACTACTACGCAAAGTATTGAAGAGTCTGACGAGGTACCATTGCAATCCGCAACGGTATATATAGCTAGCGTTTCGTTACACGCGCTCCTTGAGAAGTCGTACGGAAACTGTTATAATGGTGACCGTAAGAGAGCCAGTTAATCCATAATAAATTCGTTGCATTGTTAAATGAAACTTATAAAGCTTAATATTAAGGACCGAAGACTCAGTAACGTAGGGAATGACATTTTTACCGGCATGCAATTGACTACAAGGTACAGCGCATGCGCGTGGGACTGGCCTCTTGACCAATCGGTGCGTCGTGACGTCGTCAGTCCCAAGATTCAAAGGACACTCTGACATAGTCAAACGAAGAATTGTCCAGCTGATTAATTGTTGATTAATTGCAATTATGTACAATTGAAATTCGACTGTGAGATAGAAGGAATATATGTATATAAAATATTTAAATATGAAATGTATAATACGGCGAATTGTGAAATCGTACGAATTCTTCGCTACAGAGTTATTCATCGTAGAACGCAACTGGAAATATTTTAACCTCGAAATTCACAGTTGTAATTGCGATTATTAATTCTGTACATTTGTCACTAATTCTTGACTTTACTATTCTTCTATGTTTTTACGTATAATCGAGAAACATTGTTTAACGTAAAACTATTAAACGTACTTGGATCTTTCAGGTGAAAGTAGACCGAAAATTCTAAAAAGATAAGAACGACATGCGAATTGTATATGAATCAATAATATTTTGTCGACCGTCAATTTTGCCAACTTGACGCATCAAATGCGAGCACTATGTTGAGGTTAGAAAAGATTCTTCCATAAAATGATAAAAGTGTGTTAAGTACGGACAAAATGGTTCGGCAGTATACCCAATATTAGATCGATATCACGAACAGCGCCATACTGAGACGCTTGGTAAGACGTCGAATCCGTCGCGACGTTTCGTATAAGAAAAAAAAGGATCGTCCATTTCCATAGGGTTGATATGCTAATATTCCAATAGATAAAAAGTTATGGAGGGTTTCTGGAGGACAACCATAGGTATGACAAAGCAAAATGGAAAAACTAGTTCGACAGGCTACACCTGGGAACAATAAAATGATTTATCGACGGGTGAGGATTTTTCATAACTTGCATCTTCCTGACACGTCGGGACCTAAATGAATTTTGTACCTATCACAAAAAATAACGTCGGTGCACTTTGTTCGAGAAAACTTTTTGATAATTTTCTTTCTCTTTGACATTTCTCATATAATTCTTTTTGCTACCATCTTGAATCCCCTTAATGGCGTACCTTCTGTCACGCGCGGTTCAATTTTTAAAATAATATTCTTTCGCCTCGCCATGGCTTATGTCCATATGAAGATTATATACCTGTGTACGTATAAGCTGCCGGGTGTTAAAAAAATTTTGAAGAACTTGAAAGCCATTACATTTCTGCTTTAACGGTCTGGTTGATCATTGCGTTCGTATCTGTATACAAATATACCGTTGAGTAGCCTCATTGCATAATTTCGTTTACTCAGACTAAATTTCATTTTACTTCCCTTCACGCGTGACCTTGATCCTTGAACTTTTATCGAGAACATTAAATATTCCACAAGTTGACGGCTATGAAACTTATAATGATTTTAATGATTGATATTCTTCTTTTCCTTCAACTTTTTTTTTACTTACAAACATTGAAGTTAATTATTCTAGTTGTTTCGTTAAACAAAGCTGGTCTCTATGCGGATTAAAGTATCGAATTTTCAATTATTTTATCAAAGCTCGAGAAGCTAAATGAAAGATTAGACAATCGCGGGAGGACAATTAACAGATACTGTAAATGGGATGAAGTTTTAAAAGGCAAAAAGTGAGTTCGAGAAATGTGCGAAAAGTTTAAAAGTAAACAGTAAACCGTCGCCATCGTCTCCCCTATCGTGAGACCCTTATCACGGATTCAAAGGGATAAAATTATCATGGATTTCGTAAGGAAGGAGTCGGAAAAGTGAAAGTTCAGCGAAAAAATCAACGTCAGAGTCGCGATTAAAAATAAAAGTTTCCGGTTCGCTACAATGAAAACGTAACAAACGGCATGAATAATTCACAGTAAGGTAAAACCTAATAAAACTTTTACAGAACGGGAAGGAATCGAAGAAAACAAGAAAACCTTTTCCTGACGCGACTCAAGACAGTAATCACTTAATGCTAATTAATGATGAATATTTGACTAAGGAAAAAGAGAATTTCTCGAAAATTGTAAAAAAAAAAGTAATACAGAAATCTGAATTCACGAATTCTCGAGTAAGTAAACTTATATAGCTTTTTTTGTTTTTCATTAAATTGAAAATTCCAATCACGTGCGCAAAGAATTATTTCGGAAAAAAAAAAGAAAAAAAAAAGAGAATATCAGATGAATCGCCCATATTGCCCAGCAACGAAAAATCCCATGTAAATTTATTCGCCGTCACACATGCCTGTCCTTACACATTTTCCAAGAATCTAGTACCGTATCGTGGGAACTATGGCGACACGAAGGAAAGAATGACCCAAAAAAAAAAAACCATATTGAAATTTCTCATCTTCAAGGAAGGAAATAACTTTGCCCATAGAATCATCTCTGGTCTTACATTTCAAAATTGGTTGCAGCGTGAAGCCAGCGCAGACAGACTAAAAAACAATTGTTGTTCTTCCAGAAATAAAATTTGTAAAAATTCCTACTTGAAAGAAGCCTCGCTCCAAAAGTACCGGAAATATACAAAGGAATTGTTGCGTAAGAAAGAAAAAGAATAAAAAAAAAAGATACCATTCTTGTAAATCTGTAAATATCAAAAACGGAAAAAGAAAAAAAAAAAGTGTACATAAATTGTGAACCGGAAGTGACGCTAAGAACCCAATGAGAGTTTCATAAGAAATCCAATGATGATAAGAAAATTAATTAGCCCTAGATATTAGTTTAATTAAGATCTCGTTACGCAGAAGGAAGACCCGCCTAACTTTAGTCTAACATAACCTAAAGTGACGTCGTAAATGTACGTAATCTAAGTCGAGTATGAGCTCTATGTTAATTCTAGATTTAATGAAAATAATAGACTAGTTCATTTCCGACCAATGAAACGTTAATGAATGTCTGAATCGACCCTGAAATTAATTTTCATTTAATTATACACAAAGCGAACCTGCTGCATTTACACGTGTACCTATACCGCGGTATTTTTACCAAAGTCAATGTTATTAACCAAACACGTTATATCTGATAACAACTGATGTCTCTAACGAGAGACTAACCTAATTAAGCGACATTGATGCCCTGGGTTGTGGTTACGTCATACGCTTAGACGAAATTCTGCCGTTCAAAGGGGTTAACTTTCAATGATTCAATGAAAAAAAAAAGAAAAAAAAAAATATTCAAAAACCCAATTAACGTACCCAAAGTATATATACCGTATAAGTGTACGTATATATGTATATACATATATTTTTTTTCTTATATTCCTCCATGTGCTCCATAATTTATTGACATCAATAAAGAGTTATATTTCGTAAGCAGTAACGTCGTATTACGTAACCGTATTGCTTCCTTCAAACCTTATAGACCTTATTTGGAAAAAGAAAAAATCATATAACGAGCCCATACCCCGTTTTACTTGGTAGAAAAAGAAACGAGCATCTAGGCTGCGCGAAGAGAGGATAAAAGCACAAAAAGGGACAATCGTTTGAAATTGTTTGATGTTTATTATTGAATTTAAAGAAAAATCACGTAACCGCTTGTTATCTCATAAAACTTGCTGAATTGATTCTCCACGATGTGGATTAAGGGTATATGCCGTTTTTGAGACAATTTTCTGAGAGAATTTTGAAAATGGGGAATATCATTTTCATACGACCGTAATGAAATGCTCGAGTACTGTTTTCTTTTTTTTTTGGAAAATTCTTGAAATTCCTAATGAAACTATGAATTAGCAATGCCGAAGGTATAAGCTTGAACGTATATACTAAATTCATGTGAAATTTCTGTATGAATGTAATATGAAACATTTACCTATTAAAGCCCCAGAAAGTCAATTAAATCAAATTGAATTTAGCGACTGAGAAGATTATGAGCATTAAACATGAATTTCAATTGTTCGTACGAGAGAGATAATTTTGAAAAAAAAAAAATTAATTTAAAGAAATAATTTGCTCGGAAATTACAAACGCTCAAGTATCCAGTATGAAGTTAACTGAACTTGAAGAAGCACTGCCAGGATATTTAAAATCCTACATAAACGTATGTTCATATTTCCAGATGCGAGCAAGTGATGGTCTGCTTTTAGAATTTTGAAATATCAATGTTCCTCATACGTAACCCAGTAGAAAAATACGGGATTGACATTTCGTATATCGAATCAAAGGTAAATACTTTCGGTTTCCTCAAAGAATTTCCATTTTCCAATTCCGCTGACTCTGAATTTCGGCAATGCCAGAAAAAAAAAAAGTTATTTCTCGTTCGGAGTGGTAGATTCCAGTTGTGCGATGACTTGTGTTCAAGTAATATTACATGAGACACAAGGGAAGACGGTTTCCATAAATTTGGCGAAATAGGAAAATATAGAACTCGCAGGAATAAGAAAACGTATCTGACCTATGTTAGTAGCAGTGGTAGGACTTGTGTAACGTATAGAGATATGTAATATTACCCTTGTCTTTCCTGATCCTGTGGGTCCCACCAGCATTAAGCCATGACGTACCACAGTGGTTTCATACAGCTGGATTACTTTGCTGACGTATTCTGAAAATAAGAAAAATTTATTGTATTACAATCGCAAGGAATACTGTGTACTTGTCAATTGATATTGATTTCCTTTTATTCTTCCTATTGACAGAAACTATAAAAATTGTTCAATTTCATTTCACAGTTGAATATTCATTACCCAGAGAGATAGTGAATTAGAATTCACTTAAACTTCGATAAATTCGAATTGTCGAACCTCTTAGTAATCTTTTGTGATAATTGATTTAATCACAAGTAATTGTTACTGCGTATCATAATACAATGCAATGCAAACTCTTGATTGAGTTTCAAGGTAGCTGACATAAAATGAAACCTGATTCATTCGATGGGTGGAATAATAGTGTTTGTAGAAATAATAGAGATTATTGAAATACGAGACAGAGGAAGGACAGCGTGTGTTTCATGACTCCTTGTCTGTTGAAGAAAAAGGCTAGGAAGGCAGATAGGAGAGTGGAGAATCCTGATCAATCGAAAATGCCTAGAAGCATAGAGTAAGGCTGGCCACAGGAATTTTCAGGCCGTCCAGTGCGCCAAGGATTGCTTGAGAAATTCAAGGAAGACGGAAGCCACTGGAGTGTCCTCAATTTCGCACAACCCTTTAAAGGTCTCTCCAGCCGTCATCGTCCCCACTCGAGCCTAGAACGTACGGCGGCCATATTATCAAGAGGGTAACATCAATCACCGAACTGACCTCATTGTTCCTTCGACGTACGATCGCAAGATGATTGCTTTTTGATAGACAGGCGGAGGTTAAAAATATCCCAGAACCAACCGAGCAACCCCTCGGTGTCGTTTTCCTAAGAGCCACCCGTTACTCGTCCATGGTTCAATGAATATTCGATCGCCCTGCGAAACACAGACAATGTTATTTGAGTGGAGGGAAAGAAAGAAAAAATAAATAAATTTAAATATAAGGAAACATGCAAAGCAAGAAACCTAACCAACAGAGGGTGCTTTTTGTAATGATGCGCAATACGGCTGACTCGAGTGGTTTCATACTACATTACTACCAACCCTTACTAATATAGAGGGGTTCTATATTGCTTGGAGGGTTCTGCTACTTGTTCGGTCGTGACTTTCTAATTTTCTTCGTTCAACGTAAGAAGTTATTCGACCCTCGGAAAAGAATGAAATTTCTCTCGGAGCACTGCTCTGAGTTAGAATTTTTATAATCTACCATAAGCGCATTCTGGGTGTATTACAAATATATATATTTTTCTAATTTAATCGAGTGGTACGATTGAATTCTGATATTGAAAAAGAAAGGAGGAGCCTTCAAGCATAAACAACCCCTAATATTCTTCGCTGTTCTCTCGCCTGTTTTCACCTTTATTCAAAGCCTAAAGAGACGAAGGTTAGTTTTCTTTCTTTTTGTATGTAATTGACATTCACGTAGCATGCCCTTATCGCTGTTCTTGTAAATTGCTGCTCGAGGGTGAAGAGGTGTCCAGGGTGTGCGTCAGGGTCACTGATCAGACAGGCGTGGGTACAAGACAGATTGGCAGGAAATTTAAACCAAAACACGAAACGTGTCCCACGAGGGTGTGACTCCATGAATCTCCTAAAACTCCAAAAAAGACGCCATGATTTTATCAAGGAAGTGTATTCGCACGAGGGGAAACAAATAGGAGAGTGAGAATGAAGCTTAAGAAAATTTTTCATCACATTCGTACGTTGCTTGCCTGGAGTCTAATCTTTCAGAATTTCAAATAGGCCCAAGTCACCCTCATAGCAAGAGAGCCCCTACGCTTTTTCGTTGTATTATTTGAACTTCGGTATAATTTTAAAGTGACTAATTTTAAAGGACGCGGAAAACGACGGTAATATCAATAATTTCTCAGAATACTTGTTTAGTGTACATTAAGGCTCATATATATGCTCGAGTCTACCGTGGTAATGAAATCCCACTGAATTAAAGTGCTGCTCCAAAAAACACTTTTAGTGAGACGTCAAGATAGATAGGAATTTCAAAAAAGTCATGGCCACTCAGAGTGTCCCTCGAATTTCCACTTTGACGTGTTGTACACGTGGATGACAGATTGGCCTGCAGACGAAATTGTTGAGGTTTGACGGTGGCTGAAGAAAAAAGAAACCCCTGGAGCTCTCGGTGAAGGAGGTAGAAGGAGAAAGTATTCACTGTGGCAAATTACTGCAAAAAGTAATCTCCTGATCCTGTTAAGATGGAAAGAAAAATATTTAACGAGTTATTTTTGGGAAAATTGTACAAATTAATGTTTAATTGATTATTCGGTAAAGTGGTTAACTACCGTCTCGCGTGCTTATTTCTAGCGTATTTATGTAAACAGGAAAGACTTACGTTTGTATAGCAATGAGAAAAAGTCCTTTTTACCTAAATACGCTAAAAGTAGGGCTTACGACAATCCATTGAAAGGGAGTGAGGATTGGTTGAGTGAAAATACATACGTCCTCGACGACGTTCAGCTACATCACTGGTGAGGAGACAGTGGCGTATCGTTGGAATATGAAAATACACAATTTGCAAAACCAAGTGACAGAGCTAAAGGTAACGCTTTTGAAATTTTCCTGATGCCTTGACTCTGCGTGGGCAAATAATTCATTTTTTTTTGGCAGGCACGTACCAAGAGAGAAAAAGAGAAGCAGAGGACTGAAATTGGTCGATATGAAGTTTCCGTTATGTTTGAGATAAAAGAAAAGTTTTTTACGAAATATTCATAAATGGAAAAAAATAATTATAAAAGTCTAATTTGAAATTACATTGCTCGGCTGCTGCTAAATGGAGATTGGAATTTTTGAATTTTAAATTCGCTTATAAGGTGATCAATATGCGTGATCAAAAAATGAATGACATTAGGATCCACTTTAAATGTGGGAAACGACACATTTTTTTCAGAGGATTAATAGCAACTAGCGACACGCGTACACTGCGTTTTGGATTAATAAATTGAGTCAATTTTTGGTTGAGGATAAAGGTGAGAGATATCAGGGATAAAAGAAGCTCACCGTTCACGTCCTGGAGACCCATTTTCTTGATGGATCTTCTGATTCCTGCCTCCAGAATACCATGGTCTACTGTTTCCTCCACCAGCTTAGGAAAAAGGTCGGATACGATGCCTAAAGCGTTGAGGAAAGAAAAAAATAAATGGGGTTTAAATTAATCGATCAGAATTTGCATATAAAATTCCGAAAAATCTCAAATCCCCAACGTCAATTCTTTTATACCAGTTTGGAGCTTTAATCTAGCGGAAGTAAGGACCCTCCCTTTACACTTCCCTTGTGCCGCGACGAGAGATAAAGTTCTATTGGCCAAAATGGCGCAGGAAAATGAACACCCCACGAAACGTTGGAACGTTTACGTAAACCCCTTAGGGTGCCGAATGCCGTCATACAAGGATCGCCAGAAGCAGTAAAATTTATTTGGAAAATTACTTCTTCTTCTCAGTGATTACGACGTTGCCGCAAGAAATGCATTTATTAAAACTCATTAAATAAAGAATTATTCGAGTTGAATCGTGGATATTTTCATTACAAGTACTTAGGATACGAAAAAATGCGAAAAATTGTTGGACACGTGTTTCTCATGTTTTACGGATAAAATAATAATAATCAATCGGAAAATACCATATACAGAAAATACGTATATAACGTGTATAAGTATGTACAAAGTCAAAAAGATATATTGAGGATATCAGGAAGTTGAGATTTGAAAAACTTGATATATATATTCCCATAATAAAGTACACCCTATATATCACCCCTACTACAGGAAGTAACTCTTCTTTTTTTTTCTCTATCCTTTTACGATAACGTCATCCCTAAATCTTATTGATTTAACGCTAACACCAGCGAATCTTATAACAATAGATAAACATGTTATGGACACGATAGGCCATATCTTACCGTTAAACAATTTAAGATCATCCTTCAGGAATTTTGGTACGTTCACGTCCCTCAGTGCCCTCAAACAGATTTGTTGTTCCTCCATATTTCTTTGCTCCCTTTTAAGATTCCCAGCAACGGCAATAACCGTCTTAACGGCTCTCATGCCAAAGTCATAATGGTCCTGTGGAACATTTAAATGACTATACGCAATCAAACGATTTACAAAGGACTATTGTAATTATATACGCATATACGCGGATTTACCTGACTGCTTAATTGTTCGGAGCTTAGCTTGAACGTTGTAGTAATTTTGCCAGCAAGATTTTTAGCGTCGCTAAATCCATAAGAGAACAACGATATCTCAGCGATCAGAGTGTAATTAGGCACCATCATAGCCACCGGACGAAATAACGCTTTTAGGTTATCGGGAAGTTCCGTACGTCCTGCGTATCCTGGATTCATCGTGATGAATACGGCGCAAGCTGCCTTCAAACTAAGTTCTACGCCCTCGAACATAAATCTAATCACGATTGAATATCCCATCAGGATAGACACTGTTGGCTCTACATAAATTCTTTAATGTTTAGATGATAGGATATTTACCGTTCGGCTCGAATTTGCTGAGCTTTCTGTATGGTAAGGATCTGCTGAGCTATCACAGAAAGTACTTCGATATCGATACGATTAAATTCATCGAAGCAAGCCCAAGCACCGGCACTGATAGTAAGATAAACAGAAAAGTGAGAACAAGCATAACCGTATTCATATAGACTTAGAAGCGTTCAATCACGATGGAAATCGGTAGTTTTATTTCGAAATTTAAAAAAAGAATTAATATTATCTCTGCCTCTACCTTGCTAATCCTTTGAAAAATTTCCCCATCGACATAAAATCCAATTGATCGGAACAGTTGAAGACGACGCATTGTATAGCCAATGCCTTTGCCAAGTCCTTTGTCGTCTCTGTTTTACCAGTCCCAGCTGGGCCGGCTGGTGCGCCGCCGAATTTCAAATGCAAGGCGCCAGTTAATGTCAAGTAGCATCGATCCGTTAATGGAGTGATAACTAATCTACCATTGTTGCCGAGATACTCGTATCTGTATTAACATTGATAACACGATAAGTGATAAATGGTAGACCGGGGGTAATAAAATAGAATAAAATAAAATATGTCAAATTTATACCCATAAGGGAACTCTGCGTTAACGGCCCTGACTTTCAAGTCAGTGCCATCTACCCAATAGTATCTCAACTGCGATATCCAGTCGAAGTCGTTAACGTTTACCACACGTTCCTGTATCAGTTTGTACAGGACATCCCTGGCGTGAACTTCAACAGTGATAACCGCCTCTAACATCAATCTTTGAATTTCCGTCTGCTGCCCTCGTACCAACTCGCGCAAATCATCCAGCTACAGAGAGTCAATGCGGAGTTACATTAATAAGTTCTAGATAAACGAAAATTATCTGAAAAGCTTATTTAACGTACATGAGAGAGCATCAGCTTGTAATAGTTCATCAAGGTATTGTTAACGATGCCATCTTCGACATGAGCAGACCAGTAGGTCTGCCCGGCACATATAACGACCTGACCTGGCCACATGTAAACCCAGCTTTTCCTTGGCGTTTCCTCGACAACCTCTAAAGACTTGCCAATAATATTTCTCAAGGTACTCCTCATGGTATCTTCAACCAGACCCAACCAATTCTCGACATTGCCTTCAGGATATATCGATGGCGACAACACGACCTCCTCGTACTCGGCGGAATACATCCTGGTAATCCTTAAGTCTTCCTCGAATCTTAATTCTTTCATATTTTCAAAGCATTTCTTAAGGTGGGGCTGCACCGCTCGCACGTTCTTAGACTGCGCCAGGATCTCCAGGAGTTCGTCGTCGCTCAGAAAAAAGAATCTAGGAAATATCATTCTCTTGGTCTCGAGATAATCCGACAGACCTTTTTGCACTACGTCCAACAAAGTTAAACACTCCTTCAGACTCTCGAATAGTGTCTTATCCGGACATACTTCAATTATCTATATATAAATGGGAGAGGAGGGTTCATAAAAAGTTGAATAAAAAATTGTATATGGCGAACGGGGACAATATATTCTCTATAAAAGGTAAACCCACGTATGGACACTCGTGAGCATTCTTCATAATGCGTCGCCAATTTCTTTCCATGGTATTATATTTTTTTGCTTCGACGGGAAGCTGCCTGCTAATGTCTTCCGAGGCGAATATTGGTTCCAGATACAGCCAGGCTCTGGGTAATATTAAGATTAAGTATGCAAGAGCTGCCTGTCGTCACTAGGGTGAATCAATATACTTTTGTACTTCTATCCAGATGGCTATAATTTCTTGGGTTAATTTTAATTTTGCTTCCCACTCGGTGATCCTATCTTCAAATGTAGCCCTAAATGGACTGAAACTAATTTGCTGTGTATTGAGGATATGATCATCCAGCAACATAGCAATTTCATCAGGAATCTTCATGATGTATGTACCTAAATGCATTGTACAAAGTAAATTCATCTTCATTTCTAATTGGGATATAAAGGATTTCAAAGGACGCTAGGATAGGAAAGTTATAACGCGCCTGTATTTTTATGAGGTATAATCTCCATTTTAATAGTCGACCAATCAGCTATCATTTTATCCAATGATTCCTCTATTGCGTACTCCTTGGCAGCACCTTCTGCTACCTCCTGAACTGTGTCGGTATAATTCATTATGCCCAGAACGAGTAAATTTTTGAAAGTTAATGTCGGCGTCAGTGCCATCTGGATGCCGGTGAGGGCACTAAGTTCTTCAAAGTGTCTTGGCTTCATTCCAGGATTTCTAAAGGACTGCATCATCCCGACAAACGGTTTGAAAGTTTCAATTTGATCTCTTATTTGAATGGCGACATTGGCGACCTCTTTGAGAACAAATTAATTGATCAATTATACAGTTGTTTTACCGAGTACAATAATTATGATTAAATTCAAAGGTCGATGGGTACTTGGCTGATCCTGAAAAGTCTTCGCGGACTTTGTCATTATCTTGTACATGTCGTTTACCATACTGTCAATTAATTGTCCATCGATATTAATTAAAGGATTGTCCATCCAAATGTCATACCATTTTAACCAATCTGTAATTGTAATATAAATAGAACTTGAATGATTATACTAAAAATCGAATGAGTATTGCTTATTAATTTGTAACAACTACCAGACGCGGTAAGCCACAGACTCTTATACGGATCGAAATCTTTTATAAGTTTTGTAAGTTCCTCAAATGGCACAACTGGTACCCCAAAGAGTTTTTGCCTCTCGTTTAACAAAAGTCCTTGTTCCTGACACTCCATCATCATCTTCCACATTCTTTTCACGTCAATGGCCGTCTCGTGTGTTTTATTTATATCCATTTGCAGAGAAATATTAGTCAAATTTCCAACAAGACTTTCTATACGCTCTGTCAAATTGATTTCATCCAATAGCTGAATTTTATAAAACTTATTCTGCTCCTCAGCAAGATACCCGATGGACTCCTCGACCTACGAACGATAGCGAGTAATACCAGAAATCCATTAATTAAATAAATTAGAGATCTACTTGTATCTGAATTTCTAAGGGATATCCTATGGCCTCCCACTTGGCCTGAAAATCCGCATCGGATAGGTTCCACCGGAAGAAATCCAAAATATCAAAATCCATTTTGAGCTTCTGTACACCATCATCAAGATTCTTAACTGTGAGAGGTATGGTCTCCATCCATTCCTTTAATTCAAAGATATCTTCCACATTCTTCGGAGCCTCCTTTAATCTTCTACAAATACCGCGATATTCTTCAAGAATTTCTTCGGTCTGAATACGCAGTCTCTCGGCAAACATATTCAATAGCGTAGTAGCAAGATTCATTCTTTTATTAACTAAAAAAGTCTTCAGTGGTTGAACGTTCACGTTGTACGGTCCTATCCACATACATTTCGGCACTGTCACCTCCAGGCTGTGATTCAGTCGAAGGTGCATTGAAATTTCCTCCTTCACCTCTGCGGCCGTACGACTTTCCTTCATGAAACTTCTGTAATAAGATTAATGAAGTTCCATCAAAGTTCCATGAAGGTCTACGCGTTATCAATTAAATCATAACTTACTCGCCGTACAAAGGCACGTCCAACGAGTACAGAGTAAGAAACTGGTTATACTCTTTACAATAAGCGTTAAGTGGAATCAAGGATTTTCGATAAGCCAATTGCAAACGCTCCCTCGCATTACGTACTAGCTCCTCCATTAGTCCTACCGAGCTGAGAAAAAGATCTTGAGGAAACTTCAAATTTGTCAGCAAAAAGGGATGAACCTGTCGGATCTGATGGCAGAGTCTCAGCGCATTATCAAAGAGAGAGACGATGACTTTCTGAAAGGAATTGGATTCATGAGAATATACGTCTTTTTCCAAAACAAGGATACTACGGAATGAAATGCGAAATCATCGCGTTCGAATAATAAAATTTGACTCGCCTCGAATAACAATGGATCAGTGGAATAGTAAGCTGATTCCATATTCATCGTTAATTGAATATTGAACACTGGATTAACAGCAGGTTTGAACTGTGTATCCATAAGATCACTGCCCCATGAAAAGTCATCATCAACATTCAGTGTACACAATGCTGGTGTCTCCAGCATATGAAGGTAAAGAGTCATGGAACGTTCTACAAGATTTCTAAGTGCATTCTGAAATGAAACTCAAGTATACAGAATTTCTACAGTCCTCATGGCCATCTATTCAAATACTATAATTGAACTATAATTGAACAAACCTGCATTCTCAACATAGTCAAGTTCATGAATCTCTTTAGCTTCATCACATCATAAACGTGATGATCCTTCTGCTCCAGGTTGAACCAGCCTTTACCAATATCCCTGAGGCACATCCTGATCGACTGCGTCATCTTTTCCAGCCAACGTTCCCTCAGATATTTGAACGTCGTGACTGTCGTCTGAGTTTGTTGGGCCTCGAAATCATCAAGAGTCCATGACTTGCCGTAGTTTAATGAAAACAGAGTCATGTCACTGACATTAATGCATTCAGCAACGATACAGCACATAGCCTCGTGCACTTCACGATAAACGTACAGTGTTATCCAGTGAAAGAGGCTCTTGCGTTTCTAAAAAATTCATTTAACGTCTTGTATAACGAAAGACACAAGGTAAAATTCCAATATTACTGAAAAGTCATTCATTCCAGTATCGATCTTTCCATTGATCGGCACCAAAGTCTCCTCGTTTGTCGGTACCCATTTAACGAATTGAAATACATCCGGATACGTTTCAATAAGCTGTCGGCATTTCAAATCGCACATCGTACGCTGATAGTCAAGACTGATTTCTTGAACAATCTGAAAGAAATTATTGTTCCCTTTAAATATTCAAGATTCTTGGAGGAATTCAAGATAATATATGTATTAACGACTCACGGCGTCAATTTTCTTTGGATTGAATTTCAATTTCCCATTTTGCAACACTAATGACATAATATTATCTTTATCCTGGCTGATAGTAGGCATTCCGTCGAGCTGCATACAATCTATATAAAAATTGTATCTGATGCAAGCTTCAGCCGTATTACGATCCTTGAGTGCAGCAACGATTCTCTTGCTGAATAATCGTGGATCTTCGGCGTAAAACCGAATATATATTCTTGGCAGTGTGTAAGTTCTATGAGAACCATCCAATATGTATACTTTCCATAATTTTGTATCGTCGTTGTAACCCATTACGGCAGCATTATACCAGCCGTACAAATGATCCATACGATTGTCATTGGCAATCAATCGTACCTCTTCTCGATTCTCGACAAATACTGCAGCAGGCAGTGGATGCCTAAAGCCATCAATAGTGCCAAGAACGAGCCAGTCGTCTACAGTTCTACGTAAAATATTTCATGTGTCACGGATAAGCCCAATTATCAATAAGTGAAACCATTCAAGATTCTAACCTGCAATCGTATTCCATGTCATCGAATATTTCTAGTGGCAAATAATTCATTGTTGAACGAAGACCATAAAATTCATTGCTTGGGCACAGTGGGCGGACAACGTGATAAGGTAATAAATAACGTGACAAAACTCCTTCGCTCTCCAGTGCGTCCTCGACCTTTAACAGTCTATAAATCCTTCGTCTTCTTTCCATTTCCACGTTCCGCGGAATGTGCTTGGGCTCAACGTACATTTCCATTTGAACTTTCGGCGCGAATGCCTCGGCCGGAAAGGCCTGTATGAAAGGAATAAACTTTTTCTATTATTCCGATCGATAATAGGAAACTTTAATAGGACTTACGATCGATCGATCTTCTGGAAAGGAAATCCAACGTTCCGCGGCACCCAGGAAACGTGTTTGTGGTCCGGATCCCAGATTCTTTACAATGGCGGCGTGATGCTCGGTCATTACTTGCCAAGATAATTTTGTTCTTCTTGGCGCGGCTGCGAGAATGGTAAGTTTTGGTCTCACGGGATATTCATTCGTGCCTGCGTGTTCATAAATATTAATATTAAACAGTATCTGGCTTTAAGGGGTGCGATAATGGCGGAGTGTCGTAAAGATTCTTGCCTGTGATAATTTCGGAATAATAGCCTCTTTTACGAATTGAAGGCTTCATGTCTCCTTTTGGATCGATTATGCCAGCCATGACGTTCACTGCTTTTGAAAGGGTGAAATACACGTAAAAAAATCTTTCGTTAGTTCTAATAAGACGTTTCTTCTCGAATTGCTTACAAATTGAAATTCGGCAACGTCCCTAAATCGTACTTTCATACGGAATGAAGTTTTCCGACTCGTTCAGTTGTTTGATTCAAGTTGTTACCGTCCGACAATGATAACCAATTGTTAAATGATATATCGATAAAAAACATTGTTCAAAAAAATTTGTACAGATCGAAACTTATTGTCTACACTCTGAGCATGGAGCCAGACTGCACGAGTCCGTGTGACAACTGACGCTCGATTGTACCGACGGTTTTAACACTAAACCTACCGACATATTATATATACCTATTTCTACCGATGGCTGTCAAATGACCGCTTTTGAAATAAACATTATAGTCTTTTCTAGTTGATTGTAATTAATACAGAATTTAGCATAGTCGTGCAGTAAGTTCAAGAAAAATAAAAACCTGGAATTTAACAATTTTGATTAGTCTCAAAAGCGGTCATTTGACCGCTCTGGTAGGTTTAGTGTTAAATCTGGTTCAATTTTTTTTTGTTAGTATAACGTATTTTCTTAACGAGACACCGATAAAGAAAATGCGAGAGGTACCCTACGTCACCTTCGGCCGTACACCCGTCGTCCATGCATTTGCGTTTCAAGCACGCACCAGCAAATTATTTTTTCATCGAAAATTGATGAACCGGTATTACCTGGGGGTTGAGCTCGAACAATCTCAACTACGCCAAAACGAGAGCTTTGACGGAACCTACCAGAAAAGACGATAGCTTAACGAATCCTGTAGATTTTTGGGGACTTGTAAAATCGAGAAACGCAACCGTAGATGCTGATCTTAGAGGTCGCATAAAATCAGCAAACGCAACTGAAATGCACGGCCGCTCAGGCTTCTAGGTTAAGGTAGAGAAGATCCAAAGTAAACGTCAAGTAAATAATGCCGAAAACAGAGAGCAATTGATCGAGAACATTACAGACCAAAGCTGTAAAATGTAAATCCCTCCACTAATTAATAAATTGGGAATACTCACCGGAGCTGATTCAGCTGATCCGTGAAGGTGCCAAGAATTGCATCCAGGAGACAATCCAGTGGGCACTGCACTATAGCACAACACTGCACTTCCGAAACACACGCAGAAAACCGAGAGGATTGTCTATATATTACGAGACCTACACAAGCGAGAACTTTCTATACCGTATAGGAAACACAGCTAGAAAAATTGTCAACAGATAGCACGGGAGCGTGAGACAGCTCGAGGCACCCCGATCAGTGTCCCAAGACAGACTGCTTTGACAATAGTCAAATGCGGGAACTAATCATTCCGATTGGTCGAAATCCTTCTAGCCAATAAATCTTATCCTTTCCCTCGAGGCGTCCGTTTAAAGCAAATCGAGAGCGTTAAGGAACGAATCGGTACGTAAGTCTTGGAGATCCTTCACAGCCGCTTCCCCAGGGCATCGAGCGACAGCTGGGCATCGCATCCTTAACCCACGTCAGGGGATTCCTCCCATGCCCTTAACCGTATCAAAACCTCCGTACTTAAACGTATCAAATACCTCCGCCCGTTCTACAGCCCTTTGCCAGTCTCCAGCAGGGCGCCGATATCTCATCCTAACCTCCGTCGGTCCGTGAAGACGTCTCCGTCGGGTCCTTTGCTCTGCCCGGCAACTCGGTACATCGAGACTATCTCTCCGCGTTATATTCGAGCACCTCGACCTCAACTCAACAATAACAAATCTTCCGAGAGCATTGGCGTAACTGTACGAATCAACCCAAGAATGTAGCTTCTGATCAGGATGGCGACTCGAAGGGAATCAGAAAGCTAGAACGTCATCCGAATCGGTAGCCAGAGTCGCCTTGTGACCGTGAGTCGAAATATTACGTCACAATAGTTTTGAGAAACTCGGTTCAATTGTTATATTACCCAATGAGATGCTTGTACTATTTTCAAGATAAATAGAGTTTGTGTATTGAGTTGTGTCGTAGAAATCGCGGTCCTTAGTGAAGTAATTAATTAAAAATTTATCTAATTCCGGTACCCTCTCCCAGGTAAACTTCTAAATAAGTACTTTGATTCACTACTACTCAATTTTAGGGCACCATTCACAGTGCCACGTGAGAGACTGTTATTTCACAGTGATAAATAATTCGTATCTAACGATGATGGCTGCCATTGTACAAAAGCTCAGCCCAGTCTCGTCAAGAACTGAATAGCATCTACTCTTGAAAACAGAACAGAACATTTAATCATTTTCTCGGAGGCTACAAGAACCATCGAAATGCTGAAAGGAAGGATGAAACCCTTCGATTCGTACCAACGACCATTAATTTCAAGCTCTCTTCTATCTTCTATCTGAATAACAGACTGACGTTTGCAAGGAGTGATGTCCTTCTGCCGATACAGTCCTGTTCGAAATCCAAATCTTGTTATTCTTTCAGTATCGGAACACGTTACAAGCAGAGATAGAATCTATTTTCAAATTCCTTTGATCCAGAAAACATTAATCAATCGGTCAATAAATTTTCATTGACAATTATGATATATTCTCGGCTTAGTTACATTGGGGTTACTTTTTTTTTAAATAAAAAAATAATTTATAGTACTTGAAGTCTTTCGATTTAGTATTTAACAATTTATTTGTATCTAACAGAAGGCTAGTCAATATCTTTTCGCGCATAATGTATGTAAGATTGTTTAGTGTTGCCAATAATTCGGCGTTTAATATTACTGGCACAAAATTATTCAACTAGTTTATCAGTCAGAGAACAACGTATGTGTAACATAATGATTACTTATGTCAATGATATTCCATGTATGAATAAATTAGAGAAAACATAAATCCAAATTTTTCAAAATTTTACGTCATGAATTCATGAAATTGTAGGGTGAGTCCTAAGTATGGCTAACGTTATAGGAACAAAGGTTACTGATTAATTTTCATGCCTTATGAATCTTTCAAAAAGCAATTAAACTAAGGGCTCTTCTTTCATTTTACTTGTCGTTCTCGTACAATTTCGGGTCCTTTCGATTTAGACGTTTATGCTCCGCTGGCGTCCACGTGTAAACAAATGCAGAAAGCAGCAAGCCTGTGGAGAAATATGATTGATTACTTATTCAATAACAGCGATTAATTTACAGGCCTGGAAAAAATATTTCAAAAATATTTATACCCACGAAGTATACGTGTATATATATTACCTGGAGCTATACGTGGTGCCACGTAGATGGCTCTTCGAAACAGATTTGGTATATCGGTTGAAAAGAAATTCACCCAGAGTTTTTGTTCGTATGGCGACAGAGTATAGTAAGCGATTCTTCTAATGTGAACAGGAAGATGACCGAATTCTAAACCCATTTTTTAATAAAGTTTTATTAACGTAATTAAACGACTTATTAAAGTCTGATAGTCGAGACGGAAGGTCGTAGTTATTAGACTAATGTTGTCGAGTTGTGAACGTTTCTAGGAGAATAAACACTTTTTATTTTAAACATTTGACAGTCTGCATTATACGTGTAGCTGCAATTACGCCTTGCATAACTTTCACTGAATTATCAGCTGCTGTTTACGGTTATCAATATTTCAAATAATTACACCAGATGGCGGCGTTGAGCAGCTGTTTTAGCTACAGAGAATTTCAAGCGGCAGGAATAAAATTTTAATAGATGAAGGAATAATGTTATTTAGAAATTGTACATTAAGTTACATTAAATATATTTAAATAAACTATTCGTATTTAATAAAAGCCTAGGTTTATCTATTTACTTCTATTTTTATTTATTGTATGCACAATATTTAATTCATTGCCTTATAATATTAGATAGTTTCATAATCTATTGGCATGTATTTCGCTATTTTTTCTGGTATAACAAATTTATCTGAACTAGTTTCAAGTAGACATCCAAGTAGTCTTGGAACGGACAACACTGTGCCTGAAATTATAGCTGGAAAATCCCGTCCCGTAGCAGTTTGATAACATATTAATAATCGTTTGCTTAAATAATCACCACAGGTGGATACATGACCAACCTCAATGTATTGCTCAGCAAATGGTGACCACATTTCAAAAGATACGCGTAAGGTTTCCCAAGGGCGAAGTTCTGTTGCTGGCCTAATCACTGTTCGATAATGACAATCTAGACTGTCATACAGTTTACTAGTAGTTTTAATTAAATTTTGAAAATGATCTTCATATTCATCGCACTTGCTTTCCTTAAGGACCATGAAGACTTGCGCTGCTGAGACTTGACATATTGTAAATAATCCATTAGGCAAAGATGATTCAGGAAATGGAGAATACTGTCTCCCTGTAGTGAAACACTTCAGTGGAAGATGAGTCGGATTTATGAGCTGCTTCGCATACATTGCCAGAAAAGAAACTAAGCTGGCTCCGCCAACTAGATGGAGTCGATTTGGAGAGTCCCTTTCGATTTCTTCGTTGTTCTCGAGTATGAAGGTTTCTGCAGGATCCTCATGGTTGAGACCACAGCCTTCCACAACGACGCTACGACTGAAATCTGTTCCAGCTACACGTATCATATCATCCTTTGATAAAATACTGCCAGCTAGGGCCAGAGCTCCGAGTTCAAACAGTGCTGCATCATTGCACAAGTAACACTGTGTAGGATTTTCATATTCGACAAGACCCAGATCTTTACCAATATCTATGTGACTTTTTACTGTTGCTGGTTGAGTTTGAATACCAACACTACTTAGAACAGTGGGGGATGATGGCGGTGTTCTGTGATCTAATTCATTGGGTAATCTCAATGCACGGATGACAACAGAGTTTTCTAATTCCCAGAGACTGTCCCGAATAAACTTCAAATCTTCCTTCACAATTTTTGCTTCCAATTTGAGTTTAGCAGTTTCTTGCTCTTCTGCAGGAGTCAAGTCCTTTTTCTTAATCAGAGCTCTCATTCGATTTGTTATCTCACCTCTCTTGTGCTCCAAAGCCCATTTATTTGCATCCACATATTTATAAAAGTCCCATGTTTTCTTTAACTCTACTACATCAATATCTATTCCACGTAACTTAAGTTCCTTTTGTAACCCCTCAATGTTGTCAAAACGATTATCAAAATCCAAGCATGGACTCAAGACAGAAAAAGTATCATGTGCCTTATCCCCCGAAATAAATAATGCTGAACTGTATTGTTTCACAGCAACCTTTGCACACGTTATGTCATTGTGAAAGCAAGTTTTTGCAGCTCCGTAGCCAATCCTGTTGGCTTTGTTTAATAATCTAAGCACAGCGTTTGACATTTTAATAGCAATTGAGTACTGTGAATTCAATATGTACATTATTCTTTATAACTGTCAATAAATGAATACCCTAATCGTCCGTCTTCATAATTTTTGCTGGTGATACTGCATCAGTATCAGCATCCAAATCATCCAAATCCTCTTTAGTCAACGTTTCAATTTTCCGTTTCTGTGGTGCAATGTAATTACCTCTGCCAGCAGCTCGTTCAGATTCCTCTATGCTATAAGGTTCTAATTCAAGTGCTTTCAGCCTCCTTTTATGTACTTTAGTAGCAAAATGATCTTGCAATGCTCTGTCGTTAATGAAGTATCTCCTGCAATATATATAAAAACATTCAATTTATATGCAACATACAAAAAAACATGCAATTCCATTGAAATCTAAGATACACAGGTTAAGTAAGAAAACAAAGGATATAAAATACTAACGCGCAATGTACACAATAGTGTTGAGCTGCACCTGGTTTATCGAAATCCACTTGTTGATTTAGTAATTTCTTTGCATTCTCCTCCTTTATGTCGTCATCGATCTAGCCGAGACAAAAAACTTTTGTTAGAAAAAAATAAATGCCAAATATTGCGAGTGATACGCAAACTATGGCAGTCACCCCACGTGGTCCTACACGTGCGCCGAGCCCACGGAAAAGGTTATGTTCGAATTATCCTTACTTCATCCAAATCCTTCGTTCTTCTCTTTGTCCTCCATCCCTTTTTCAAATGGGTATCTCCTTTGTGATACTTTCTACGCTTATAAGTCATCGTTCAGTCTTATAATTCACGTGCGTTTAAAAAATATTAAACATAAAAGTTTAAGCCGCCACGAAACGCCAAATTGAAATACGAAGAAAGTGCTGCCACCTTGTTATTGAACTATAATAAAAACCATATCATGTAGATTTGAAGAGAAGACTCCTAAATGCGACGGTTGATCAGAGCACAAACGGTTCGTTGCATAATTTAAAAATATTCTTGCCCCGTACAGCGTTCCGTGAATTCTATCGAAAGAGATGGCACTGTTAAAGAATAAATTGCGCATGACGATAATGCCAAGAGGCACTGAAGCGCGACGGTGTGTTCTGAAATTATTCGTGCTTAGTCCCAGCGAATAACCGGAGGCAATCAGCCATGTTTGATGGCCGCGCACGGCAGACAAACGGTACTAGTACGCCATTCGGCGTACTACTCGAGGCAAGTGGCGCGGGAAACGTCGTGCGTGGTAGCAAAGTGCGTAAACGCATCGTATGCATCGGTAGTGCGATAAGTTGTCGAGTGTCAAGGTGTTAAGTGCGCGAGAAAATAGCGTCTTTAGCGTGCGGCAATCGGCGTGCGACAAAGTGGGGGGAATAGGATCGGTCAGCCGAGTTGGAACAGCAGTACCCCATAGTGCAGTTAGTCCCCAAGAAATCCACTAGAGATCGCTCGCGTCGTTCAGAGGAGATCGCGCCTCTTGCGGCGAGTTATCACGAAATTCAAACATCTGCCGCTGCTCGGCTCATCCATTTTGAAAGTAAAAATACTGCATGACCCGGGATTTTCGTCGCGTTTCCACGGGGGAGTAAAAGAAGCGAAGTGCGCCGTAGTAGGAGCGGTGCCGCGCGTAAAATGACGTAGAACGGGTGTACCGCGCGCGCCGCGACAGGGGCGGAAACACGGAGTGCGTCGCGTCCGCTAGAGCGGATGGGAAATTGGCCGAGGCTTCGCCAATGGATGCCAGGCCGCACGGGACGCCATTTTGATATACGGTCGCACGTCAAGCTTCGCTAAGAAACGCGCTCGACAGAGTCGCTTCGCGCTCTTGCGTTAGGCGGTGCGCCCGCAGTTTTTATCCACGTTAGCCGTATAGCGGCGTAGTGAGCCGGGGTGCCGAGCCCGGCATTATCCCCGTGACTTATCGTGACCAGTGACAGGTGAATCGATCGCGTTCCTGCCGCAAAACCTCACGGAGCGCGCGGCACCCGTACGCCGTGCTCTCTGCCTCACAGTGCCAGGCGTTCTCTGCGTGTGTTCCCGGTCAACCCCATCGTCACCACCACCGGCGCCGTCACCGACACATCGTCGCCGCGTCTACCGTCACTCTCGGAGACGCTCCGTCGTGTCCACCTTGAGGAGGAGTCAAACGGCACGCACGAGGCTGGCGCAGGAAGTCCCGGATCAGCGTCGACTGAGATCTGATCGGCGATCGTTTTTCGCGCGCGCCATCCCCTAAGGACTCCAGATATCCGGCCAGGATATACCAGGATCCTCCATGTCGAGAGTGGACCGGGACTCCATCGGCGTATCGGCAGGTTCTCGTCCCGCCGTAGACTCGCGTAAATGTGCTCCAATACGCGACTCCCATGTGCACCTCCTTCTTCTGATGTCCTTTTGTGCCCTGTAAACCCAGAGCGCACCACCTTGACTAGCAGTACGCCCACGCGCTCACTGACCCCCTGGCCCGAACATGGCCAAGATCCTCAACAAGGACCCCGTCACCTACGAGCGGGAACGCGACGGTTTCCTACGGGAACTCCACCACTTCCACGAGACACGCGGGTGAGTTGCTTACATAGGTAGTTATTCTGTTCTCATTCTTCCTTCTATTCGTTACTCTTCTTCCTACTATTTACCTTCATCCGTCTCCAACATATTTTTTTTACCTCCCTCATATTCTTCCCCAGACTCCACCTGCGATGCATCCTGACGTTCATCTAAGTCGTCCTCGTACCTCCCTTCGTTTCACCAACATTCCTCTCCGCATAGCCTCCTCGACAGAACCATCTCTTTTAACGAGGAAACTTCTTGGGTAACCTACAAAAAGATCCTACCTGTCTTACACAAAGGATGTCACGAGATGAATGCACTGTCTTAAAAATGTCGGCGTCTCAGCCATGGGAGATATTTGTTTACGTGCGTACGCGGCCTTTCCCTTATCGTTGATTAAATATCAATTCAATATACACCATTCCAGTTACAAGCTTTTACAGTAAATTCTGTAACAGGTCATCTTCCTGTACTATCGTTATTATCAGACTCGTCCTTTTTCATAAGTTACATGCAAAGTTATTTTCTTTTTCTAACTGGCACCATTATTTTAAATCATTATATCCAGTCATTGTCGTCTCAGGTATTATCTTATTTGTAAATATGCCACTGAGTGCGATCAATAAAAAAATTGTTCTCCGTGCTAATCGAGCTCTGAAAATTTCTAATATTTTGCTAGTCGCTCGTCGGGTTAATTAATTCTTCAAGATCGTTAACGGTGTCGAGTAAAGTACAGAAAACTATACGTGAATATTATTACGCTGCTTGCAATTTATACTTGAAAAAAATCTTAAAAGTCTTGGTATGCCAAGTGTCGCGCTATAACAAATGATCATTAAGCATCGCTGAAGTAAATTAGCCATTTTTATTTCTTTTCAATAATCATACGTGGAATATCATGTAGCCTAGTCCATACTTGATACCAATATAAACGTTCGTTGCAAGAAAATTTTAATATAACCTGTACTATACATTACGCACGTAGTTAAATAGTTCTTAGCGAATCGTTGATTTCTTTTGGATAATTGCAAAATACATTTTGCTCATTGTGCTAAAATAATGTAATTTGCAATGGGGTTACGTTTGCTTTTATCGTAGAAAGTAGACAATAGCAATTAGACTAATTTTCATTCGACCGATATAACAAACTAGAATGGTATAAATTATAAAGACCTGTATCTCTTTTTGCAATGCAACCGGATTAGATATACAATAGGAAAAGTCTGTATGGTTATTCGGATTAATCTTTTTTTTATACGATAATATCTAAAGACGATCGTTCCGTCATTGGGAGTATTGATTAAAAGCAGTCATTGCTATTATAAAACTTTTTTTTTCTTTAAGTAAATATCATATTCGAATCGAAGCCGTGTGATTTCGATTAAAAATTTTCTTCTTTCTTCTTTCACAGGACACAGTTCAAAAAGTCTCCAAAAATCAGTGGGAATCAGATAGACCTCTACCTGTTGTACGTACTCGTCACCGCGCACGGGGGATGGATTAAGGTGAGTCTCTTTTTTATGTTAAATATGTATTATGATTGTGAAATTTATTATTTTGTTTCATCCTTCTATTAATCTGACACTTCATCGACTCTAAGACGATACTCAGCGCTGTGCTCCCTCTGAATCAATATTTTTCAACTCCAAGAGTATTCGTCCACTGCTGATTCGAACGAGATGATTTACATTTGTCGCTGCCTTAAGAATAAACACGTTAATCTTGCCGAGTCATTATGCTCAGGCTTGTGGCGGTTCCAGTCAAAAGGAATTATCGTACGATTGTTATACAAGGAGCCCAAAAAGTAACCGTACGCTGAAGGGAAGCGCATTGTTGCTTTATTAAAAGATAATTTTAACAGTTAAAAGTTCCATTTTCGAAATAGTATTTTAATCCGGCAACGTTGCTACGTCGTTACATGCGTGGCAGCCAAGAGTCCTGTAATACATAATTTAATAATTAATATCTTCGTTATAACTTGACCTTATCGTCTCTGCTGTAAAAACAGAATGCGAATCGTCTCGCCATCACGATTATCTTCTTAAGCCTCCCGTTAGACCCGCGACGTTCGTTGGCCAGAGTTCATTTAATGACGCAATTGTCATAGAAAAGCATTGACGATAGAGAAAGTAGAGACAGTGGCAAATCAACACCGACGCCGCCGGCAAGCGCGATAGGCCGATTGCAGTTTTCACGAAGCGATCAAAACAATTCACATTAACATTGTTACGAAACGTAGAAAATCGCGAGGTTACGGGTCGTCCTTAATTCTTTTTTTCTTACTTTCATTTCTCCACGCCTCGCCCGCATTACATCATGTGGATTGATGGACAGTGAACGACGTGTCATGTTACCATAAAGCCTGGTTCGCACTGTCAACGCATATAGGCTCCACATACGACGAACCAAGGACAATGCACTCGCAACCCCTGAACGTTTGGGCGCTCTGGAAATTCCGTGAACAATAAGGCAGTGTTCACAGCGTTAAAAGTTGTCGTGAATTTTTACTGGCCGATGTAAACAAAAAAAAAGTTACACCACGGTAAAACCAAGCGCGCGTGTAAATAATAAAAATAATTTTCTTAATGATTAAACCGAACAGTACGAAGACGCGGGAGACTCCTGTGAAATCTAGACTCTTCGTACAGTTTGTGTCGAGGATCGTGAGCTATGCGATTAAGTTCGGCGTCGGTCGTTATACGAGGCGCGGCATTATTCTTGGTACGTAGCAAGAGAGTAGCAAGCAAAAGGCGCGTCCGCATTAACGATTTAATATATCGTCAGGGTCGGCATCGAGACAACGGTTGGATCCGCGGAAAAGTTACCCCTGATATAAGAACGGACGAGACAAAGAAAACCGGATGGGATAGTCGCGAGGAAGTAAACGAAGGAGCAAGGAGGTCTTTCCAAAGCATGAGTTCCTAATGACTGGACTCGGCGACTGTACCCACTTTTTCGCTATGCAGTACAAAGTTTTAATTTCAGCCCCACGAAGCGCCTCAGTATCCAGACGGGGAACGCGTGTCTGCGTAACGAAGCTAGAACGTTACCAGTTTTCAAGCACCATCGTCGACCCGTCGGCTTTCAGGAGCAAGCAGGCAAAGCTGCTCACTGGCCCAGATTTCCGTACAGTCTGTCAATATTAACGTGCCGAATCTGGCAAACGTAGTGCCGCCTTAGTCATTAGCTGCTCCTCGCTGTCAGTTCGAACCACCCTCGTCTCATTGCCCAGGGTAGAATTTATTAGCCTATCGATACAACGGCCTGTACGAAGAATAGATTTCTGCCACGTGAGTGTCTCCGCGTCTTTGCTACATTCCGGCTGTTATCTGGCACTGCGTTATCTCCCAGTGAAACACGTCAGTGACGTTGGGAGACGAGCCTCCGATGGGTTCTATATGTTTTTCTCTTTTTCTTTGAATCTCTCTCTGTCATCCCGAGTACACAGCGCCGACCGACGGCGACACGAAAGAAGAATGCGTCGCTCGTGCGAGCACGTGGCTATTACACTACGTGGTAGGGGCGCTTCGAGCAAGCAGTGGGGAGTATCCACGAGTAATAACAGCAGAGGGGTTACTAACCCTGAGGAGATGGTCTGTCCTGGTATCAGGATTCGTCCATGGATAATCAATGATCAGTGCGGAACGTCGGGGCTGTCGAGAATTGTACGTAAAATTCATGTTGGCCTGTTGGATTGGCTGGTCGGTGATTGTGACAGTAATTCGGAGGCTTGTCGATTAGGAGCTGAAGGTCGGACGTAGCATGGAAAAACGTGAACTCGAGAATGCGAAGGACGATATGATTCTTGATCTCTACGAAGGAACCGATGATCGTTCACAGCTGGACGTTACGATAACGCTTTGGACTCGTCGTTCCTGTTATCGGCGAGTGAGGTCCCTCGGTTTCTAACCTGACCCGGGCGCGGTGAATGCCGGAGCTCTCTGGGCAGCCTAAGCCTAAGTAAGGACAACGCGGAAGTGGTGCAAGGTCAGGGTCGCGCGTTGGGGAAGGTGGAAGCACTGCTGGTGGGGACTAGAGCAGAAAGCTCGGGAGGAGAAGGTACACTGCTGGTTGACGAGGTGGTAGTGCTGGAGGAGGAGAAGGTGCTGGAGGTGGCAGAGGCAGAGGAAGGCTTCCCCTCAACAAGTGTGATCGGGCCGCGAGGCACGAGCACAGCTCCACGGAGAGAGCTATATAGTCCGCGAGCAGCCTGGCGCCACGTTCAGAACGATCGCGGACACAGGGAGGCCATCTTCTCGTTTCTCTTCCTAACGTCCCGTTACAATACCGAGGGACGCCACGCGGCCATTTCGTCATCTGTTCTTTAGCCGTTGGTCCCGTAGACCCAGGATACTCGGCACGGGTCTGTCTCCTCTGTCCGCGCTCAGCTTAGCCAAGTGAAATGGAGTCGCCGTCCATGCCGCCTAGACCTTCCTGGCACCGAGATTAGTATTCGAGACCGGACACTGTGTAGTCAGCAACGGTTGCAGGTGACCGTGCGAAAAGAATGGCCGATTCGACTTTCTCATGTACCAAGTATTGCTGCTGATTTCTCGAAACGGAGACTGACCAGGTCGTCGCTGAGACGATTTGTCGTTGCTTGAGCAACCTCAAGCTCTAGTGCGTTAAGTGTCTGTGGGAATTTAATAAATTCGTTAATGGGATATCGTAGTAGATGAGATTGAATTGATATAGCTTGACGTGTTGGCTAAGGCAGTGTCAGAGTACTAGGGATATTGTCTCTCTCTCTCTCTCTCTCTCTCTCTCTCTCTCTCAATCATGACGATTAATATTTTTTTACTCTTTCACGAGGATATAGCTAGTCTGGTAAAAATTTACTTCTGACCTTTACTTTTTTTTTTGGCTTGACCTATATAGTCCCACTTGTCAGGAATGTCTAGAAGGATCGATCCGGCTAGGGATTCTTGACGACGGGATGTTCCGTCGGACACATTTAAGTCTGACGGTCCTAACTCCTCGTGCCCGGTTTCTATAGGCATATAAGACTGCCCTGGTTATCTATTGACCGACCGTAAAACATTGGCGAGAACGCTCGACTGGTATAAGGAGAGCAGACGCCAGAGGGACTAAACATTTACAGACCATCCTGTGAGCTTGCTGCTACCCTTGTAGCTCTACTACGCCGTGGAAAATTCCACAGAGCTTTGGAACTTCCTTCGACTTTTCTACCAGGCTCAACCCCTACTTTTGAACGACCTTACGATTCCCAGAGTGGTCTTGCTTTGTCGTTGCTTCTCTTTCTTTTTTTTTTTTTTCTTCAAGCAAGTCTCCCGAAAGGACTGATCGATACGACCTCTCGTCTTCGGTGCCATTTCCTCTTGGAGAATCTTCGCGAACAGCCTTTTACTTTCTTGCTTCAGTACGGAAAGCAGTCAAACGGGAGCGAAATCGACTGAACGCGTGTTTCGTGCACTTTGGGTAATTTTCATTAAGGTCTCGTCAACGTTCCTAGAGCGTAACGACTGCCTTCGTTAAGCCTAGTTCACGAACACGCGTCTCACGACTCCTCGAGTACAATACAATTTTCATTCTCTTATTTTTCTCATGCCGAAAGTCCAGAGCGACCGGAGTTCCACGTGATCGCCTACGAGTTGGTCTGCATGGTCATTAATTCCGGTGGGTTTCCACGTAAAGGGTGAACCCGGTCCCAGTTCGCGATAACTCGCGCTCAGCCGTAATATTGAGAACGCCGGAATAGAAATGACGAGTTTACACGCAGTTGAGTCGTCAGCAAAATATTTTCTAATGCACCAGGAACGTTGTCCTTAAAAATAAATAAAATGCGTTCACATTCCGACAGATCATGAGATTCAAGGAGGATATTAAAGAATGTCTAAAGTTCTTTAAAAAGAAATATACGGAAAGAAGACTCAGGACAGCGATTCGCAGAAAACGCAAGGAAACTGAAAAGAAGAACGTGCCTACTTCCATCTCTCATTTGCCTGCGTAATAAATTAATTCAATCTCGTGCGTTATCAAGTCAGGCTCTCGACTTCACATCCGTGGCCCGCGAGACCCACACACTCAGCATTAAAGATATAGTAACATCGTGACTACGGATATGCTCGAGAGACCGCAGAAGCAGTCGTTAACAATTAAAAAGGACAGACGTAACCTCAAAAATATCGGGCTATACGTTGTAGCGGTTGTATCGCGTGACACCAGGAATATAGGTAAACTCAGCGCCTCGTTATAACCATACGATGTGTATTAAGGAGAAGTAATCGGAGGAGAGACAAAGTAAATGCTACATAGTCGAGTCAAGGTAGCCGAGCAGCGAGAGAGAAAGAGCGAGAGCAAAGACACAGAGCGGTAGGAGTGAGGCCGTCAATAGCAGTAGCAAGCAGCAAGAGCGGAGAGTAGCAAATACATAGTATAGAGTGATCGAGTGTTAAGTTGTACCGACTTATAGCGTATATCTTATATATATACGGTATACGCTGTATATTCAGAGCAGCCAGCAAACTCTCTAGTCAGGTACTAC